TTTAAATAAAATTATTATCTTCAATAAATAATATTTATCTTATATTTGATACACGCTGGCTTAAAAAATGCGTTTGTTTACCAACATTAATATATATAACAGAGAAAAGTATAGAATCGAAAGGATCTGAATAGCTCAGCTGGAAGAGCAGTCGCCCGGCAAGCGAAAGGTCTCGGGTTCGATTCCCGATTCAGCGATTTTCGGATCTATATTTTTCTCTTGCATTTCATTTATTTATTTTCCGTAGGGGGGTTAAAGGGGTATTGAAATTAAATCTCAAAATATGAGATTATTTCATATTTAAAATCTTGGCCGTGTCCAAGTAAAAATTTGGTGCCTTGTGCACCGGTATTTAATTCTAACGAAAAATTATTTAGTTTCGTTAGGATAACGCATTGTCATCCGCGATTTGGCTCTTGTTGCCCGTCTTATACGTTAAATATTTATCTTATTATATGCAATTTCGTCTTTTCGCTGTAATCGACTTTAGGGCATACGTGTACTTTTTGACTTAGAATGATCCCAAGAATATAAAGTTTTACTGTGGACATTACGTTGCAAGACACCCTGTATATATATACACATATATTAGAGTGTAAACATATCTATCCATCTATCTATCTATCTATCTATATATATATATATATATATATATATATATATATATGTATACAATATATATTATAATTCAAAATTATTAATCAAATGTAAATATTGCAGGAAGTTTGGTAATATAACGAAGGGTAACCATACAGTTTCCTTCTGGAGAACATTTCTGCATTTAACTAGGTAACCATTTCACAATGTTTTTACATATTACATTCAAATTGTGTTTATTTATTATAAATAAATTATTAGAGAGAAATATTGAAAAATATTGAATAACATAATTAGAATACGTTGTATATAAATATTTATATAAATGGTCTTGTTTTAAAATTGTATTATTATTTAAATGCTTAGAATGTATATATTTTGTTATTATGTATTTATTTATATATTTATATTTTTTTTATATTGAAAAGATTCATTTTTCTTTTTCCTTTTTTTAAATTAATAAATTTTATTAATCATTTGTTTGCCAATTAAACAAAAATGTAATCGTACACCAGCAATTACTTTTCAAAATATTATTTTTCTTGTGTGTGAATAGTTTCATATAATATCTGGATTGCAAATATATTGTTAATAATAATAGTTTTGTTGCATATCTATTATGCATATAATTTGGAAATAATATAATTTAATAATTAAAAATTGCAAACAGAATAATATATTCACATATTTATATTTATTATTATATTATATCTGCACATATTCATATTGATGAGATAATTGTTTATTATATAAAATCATGTGCGTGATAATTAAATATTTTCTATGCAATCAAATTAATAAGGAATATAATGATTTAACATGATTCTAAATCTGTTGGTGAAAATGTTACGTGTAACAAATATATACAATTAAAGTTATTAAAATTTTATTATTTTTGTAAAATATCATTTACTTTGTAGAATACTTGAAGATATTACAATTCTATTTCTTAATAATAAATTAATTAAATTTAATAATGGAGATAAAACATTTTATCGTGTTCTGATATTGGTGGACTTATTAACCATAGCGTGTAATTAAATATTATAGGTCTACGCTTATTGTGATAAAGCTCTTTGATTGTTAATTGACTGAAATATAACCTAAGAGCTTTAGACATTCACATTCCACAGTAATCAAAGAGTTAGGATTATCAATTTTCTTTAAGGTAACGTATTGATAGTTTGTTCATTACTTGTCATAATGCAAATACAATTTGACTTTATCACTTCATAATTATTAAAAATCGTTTTAGAGTGAATCTTATGTAACAAGCTTTTTTTGGTTTTCTTCGGAATTTTTATAAAGAACTCATAAATGTTTTTTATATGTATAAAAAATTTCATTTTAAAAAAGGTAAAAAAAGATGTTAAGTCCGCGTCAAAAACTATATCTCCAAAATCTTACAGAATCTTAAAATATATCTAAAAATTGCGCTAAGCAAAAATAAAAACTTTTTTAATTTAAAAAAGTTGCACAAAATAGTTGTTTTAATTTCTTATAAAAATAATGAATTTAAAATACATACTGACATTAAAACTTGGGACAAAAAAGATATAAACATTACAAACTTGCGACAAGAAGAAATAAAAAAACATTAAAAACTTGCGAAAAAAAGTAGAACAATTTAATTTAAAAACTTAGCACTGCTAAGCTAAACAACAATTTAACAATTGTAATTGTTGTATTAAACTATACAATTGAAATTTTAATTGAAGTAATATGCAATAATGACATTAGCAATGCTAAATTTTTAAATTAATTTTTTTTGTCGCAAGTCTTTAATGTTTATATTTTTGTTATCGCAAGTTTTTAATGTCATTATATATTTTAAATACATTATTTTTCAGATATGTTTTAAGATTCTGTAAGATTTTGGAGATATAGTTTTTGACGCGGACTTAACAACTTTTTTTACCTTTTTTAAAATGAAATTTTTTGTACATATAAAAAACATTTATGAGTTCTTTATAAAAAATTCCGAAGAAAACCAAAAAAAGCTTGTTACATAAGATTCACTCTAAAACGATTTTTAATAATTATAAAGTGATAAAGTCAAATTGTATTTGCATTATGACAAGTAATGAACAAACTATCAATACGTTACCTTAAAGAAAATTGATAATCCTAACTCTTTGATTACTGTGGAATGTGAATGTCCAAAGCTCTTAGGTTATATTTCAGTCAATTAACAATCAAAGAGCTTTATCACAATAAGCGTGGACCTTAAATATTTAATTACACGCTATGGTTAATAAGTCCACCAATATCAGAACACGATAAAATGTTTTATTTCCTTTATTAAATTTAATTAATTTATTATTAAGAAATAGAATTGTAATATGTTCAAGTATTCTACAAAGTAAATGATATTTTACAAAAATTATAAAATTTTAATAACTTTAATTGTATATATTTGTTACACGTAACGTTTTCACCAACAGATTTATAATATAATCATGTTAAATCATTATATTCCTTATTAATTTGATTGCATAGAAAATATTTAATTATCACGCACATGATTTTATATAATAAACAATTATCTCATTGTTTAGGATTGAGAAAAATTTGCCGCGCTCGATCAAACGAAAATTCACGGATCAGTCGAGAATTTAGGTAAAAGCAATTGCCGCGGGCCTAACACGGCAGCACCTCGCGGCACGCATCGCGGGAAGCGCCGCGGAAGCAAATTTTCGGCCAATTAGCGCGTTCCGCGTGTACCCCTCGCGATCACACGGTCGATAGCGTGATCGATGAGGGTAGCATTCCGTCGGAGACAGTCGTCGTGGAGAGAGAGCCGGCTTTGGTCGCAAGTCAGACTAAAGAATTCGCGTTACGGTGTAATAAGTGCGTGAATGTATTATCGCGACAAATACGAACAGATTTGCGCGGTATTTTGTGACATATCGAGAGTGAAAAGTTAACGGGTAATCGGATCTCGTTCGCGACGCAACATACACGTTCTCGCGACGAATTCGCCATTGTCTCGTGCACGCTACGTGCACGTGATCGAACATTACGAGTATTCGGATCCTGCTGGAGGATTCATTGCGATATTCGCGTACAGGTGAATGCATGTCGTGCATTCTCTCTCTCTCTCTCTCTCTCTCTCTCTCGCGTTCTCTCTCACAATTGTCGTAGTACGCCGTCGCGACGAATTTGCCGTTGTATTGTGCACGCTGCGTACACGTGATCGACTCCTGCGAATATTCGAATCCTTCTGGAGGATTCTGTGTGATAGTCATTTGCCGATGAATGCATGTCGTGCATTCTTTCTCTTTCCTTTTCTCTCTCTCAGGAGTGTCGTCACAGTGTTTTCGATTTCCAAAATCTGTCACGCGGTGTGCACGTGCAAGCGGCTAGCGACTCAAAGATTTGGCCAGGATCGCTTGCACTATTGTCGTCGAGCGATTGTAATCCTGCGTTAATCTTGTGAGTTAATTTTCGTTGTGAGAAGTGATCGTGAACAAGATAATTTAAGACAATTATTGAGTCGCGTTAAATCATATGTGCGCGTTTTCGATAAATTATAACGGTCGTCTACAAGAGGACAAATTTGTTATTGTACGATTCGCGATCGTGACTTTCAAATAGGACATTGTTTTTTCTTGCGACAAAAGACATTGGTGTCGATATCGAACAAACAGTTTTCTCTTTTGTGATCGCGAGCTTCGAAACGAATAATTGTTTTGTACGACGCTTGATACACAATCAGGCGTTCGATAAGTGATCAATTGTCAAATGTAAATTTGCTGCGCGTACAGCAAACGCTTTCGATTCTCATATCGAGTTTTTTGTTTTTTCTTTGGTTTGTTTGTGTCAAGTCCAGGTGACTTTCTGACGTGTGATATAATAAATTGATCTGTTTTTGTTCATCAAACTCAAGACTCTTTTTCAATTTGGCTTCCTGCGTAAATCATCAATCTCAGCGCACACATGGGTGCGCGATCACCCTATTAAGATACAGTCCACTCAACAATTATCCTATTGTCCATCCATCACATCTCTCATAAGATTCCTATGATTTCTTTCCAATAAAAAAAAAAACGGGTGAAGGATCTGAGAGGCGGCGCGCGAGACGCGGCCCTAAAAAAGCCGAGAATGCTCGTTCGTCGCAGCTTCGTGTCGGACCACGGTTCAAGCCGCGCGTTCGCAACATTTGGTCCTTCGAGCCGGATGTGAGATTGGTGACGAATTGAAAAGTGAAAAACGCAAGTAAAAAATACAGTGACATTGCAAGTACATTCAAAATCGGACATCATCAAACGCTATCAGTGCATTCAAACAGAGTGACAGCTCGGTTCGTAAAAGACTAATTTGATTAAATTCAGTATCGTTGAAACTTCATTTGATTAAATTCAGTGTCGTTGAAACCTTAGTTGATTAAATTCAGTGTCAAAATGGAAGAAGCTCTCGCAAATCAACAAACTGGTTGCTATTCAGTTGCTCGAGCTCTCGACAATTTTAAGAAGATCGGTCGGTCAAATCTGACGGCCGCCAAAATTCGCTCGCGAATGACGAGCTTACAAGACACGTGGACACAATGTGTGCGCAATCACGCGACACTGCTGCAGCTTGTTCCTGACGAGAAGCAAGTTTCAATTCACTACTTCAAAAAGGAGACCTTTGCCTTCCACGAGGACCTCTATCAATCAGCTATGGACTACATGAACGAGTGCTTGGAGGAGCTGGTTCCTGTCGTAAGTCGTGAAACCTCTTTCAACGCTTCGTTCGCGCATACAGACTCTGCGTCATTATCGGTCAAACATCTTCCTCCCATTAAACTGCCGCCGTTCACCGGTAAGTTTGAGGAGTGGGAGACTTTTCGCGATCGGTTTCAATCGCTTATTATAGACAATCGCGAATTATTGAACTTCAGTCGCATGCATTTTTTAGTGTCGAGTTTAACAGGCTCAGCTCGCGATGCGATATCAGGTATTAAAGTCACCGCGGATAACTTCTTGGTTGCGTGGAAAGCATTAACAGCGCGTTTTGAAAATAAGCGCCGATTAATTGAGACTCACATTTCGAACTTGTACAATCTTCCGAAAATGACTCGTGAGTCAGCTGTCGAGCTTCACGCCTTACGCGATAAAGCCGAACAAGCGATCTCAACATTGCAACGTCTTAATCGTTCGCCGGACGATATAGTCAGCGACATGTTAGTTTATTTTCTCTCTCAGAAGTTTGATCCTGCCACGCGCCGTGCGTGGAAGTTAAAAACGAGCGATAACGAAAATCCGCCAACATACAAAGAAGTATTAAAATTTATTTTGTCGCGCGCTCTCGCGTTAGAGGAACTTTACCCTCGCGATAACGACAAGACCAAGTCACATGCGAAGATGACTAGCGCAACAGCGACTGCGTCATCTAATATAGTGTGTTCAATGTGCAAGCAATCGCACATTCTCTCAAAATGTCCGCAATTTGTAGCAAAGAGTCCGATTCAGCGACGCGAATTGGTTAAGAAATTTCGACGATGTTTCAATTGTTTGAGTGATAAACACATGTCGATCAATTGTCAAAGTAATTTCACATGTCGAACATGTAATAAACGACATCATTCTATGATTCATCTCGATTCGGACTCATTGCAACAAGTTACAAATGCGAATAATACGTCAAACGCGAATGACGTCATCAACAACGTGCCTAACGTTACGGCACTCTCATCAGTTACAATGACAACTGCGCCGACTCCTGTTGTCTTATCTACTGCAAAGGTGAATTTGCAGGCGCCTTCTGGACGCTCATTGGTTGTCAGAGCCTTGATTGACGGTGGATCAGAGCTCACGTTTGTGACGGAGCGTGTTGCTCAAATATTACGTCTTAAGCGTATACGAACGCTTACTTCAACGTCGGGAATAAGCTACGCTGACACCGGTACATGCCGATCTGCGGCTCTGATTCACATCACTCCTCGCAAAAAATCGAAACCAAGGTTCACAACGGTTGCCTATATTATGAAGGCATTAACGAGGTATGCTCCCAAAACGCTTCGCAATCGCAAGATTGGAAACATATTTCCAATCTAGAATTGGCTGACGATGATCCTACCGGATCAACACCGATTGATCTCATAATAGGATCCGATTTATATAATCACGTACTCGTTCACGTACGTAACGGACCGCTCGGTCAACCAGGTGCAATTGAATCGCATTTCGGATGGATCCTATCCGGAACAACCTCTATCCCAAATCACGTGACACAACCCTCTCATGTGGTAACTTCAACTCTCGTAATTCCGCCTATTGAGGATGCGAGTCGCGTCGTGCAATCAACTCAGTTAAATCAACGTTACAGTGTTGTCGTTCATTGTTGTTCTTTCGAAAATCAATTGTCTAAATTCTGGGAGGCAGAAGAAACACCTCAATCAATTGAAATGTCTCCAGATGACGAACAATGCGAAGAACATTTCAAACAAACGCATTCGAGAACATCGGATGGGAGATATATCGTGCGTCTGCCGTTTCGAAACGGCCCACCCATCGAAATCGGTGAATCTCGCGAAATAGCCGCGCGTCGGCTTTCGTCGTTACTTCGGAGAATTAATAATCAACCTGCGATTAAGCAGGAGTATTCTGAGTTCATGAGCGAATACGCACAGTTGAATCATATGAAAGTAATCGCACCGGTGGATTCAGTAAATTCACAAGTCGTGTACATCCCTCATCATCCGGTCATTCGAGAGACTAGTTCGACAACTCGGTTGAGAGTCGTATTTGACGCCTCATGCACAATCTCTAACGGTACCTCGCTCAATTCTCACATGTTTACTGGGCCTAAACTACAGTTAAATCTGCAATCGGTTTTATTACGTTGGCAACAGCACAAATACGTTTACTCCGCAGACATAGCGAAAATGTATAGACAAATATTGGTCGACTCGCGAGATAGAGATTATCAACGCATCCTATGGATAGATGAAAATTCGAATATTCAAGAACATCAACTCCTTACGGTAACATACGGTACGGCTTCAGCACCGTTTTTAGCTCTTCGAGTCATTAATCAGTTAAACGATGATGAAGGAAGCTCGTTTCCACTAGCATCTGCGGTTTTAAGCGAGAACGTCTATGTGGACGACGTGCTGTTTGGGGCCGAAGATATGCCTCTCCTTAAACAGACTCGAGATCAAGTTTGCAAATTGTTGAAACGCGGTGGATTCTATCTTCGCAAATGGGCGAGTAACAAACCGGAGTTGCTCTCAGATATTTCATCGGATCATCACGGGCTCGCACAGCTTAAATTATTCGAGACTGACAACAATTTGAAAGTTCTCGGTATTTTTTGGAATCCGACGCACGATTGTTTCCAGTTTCAAATTGAATTACCACAGACTCTCCCTTCTACAAAACGAACGATTCTCTCTACCATAGCCAGAATATTCGATCCACTTGGATGGGTCACACCCGTGGTTCTCAAAGCGAAAGTTTTTATGCAGAAATTATGGCGACACAAAGTAGGCTGGGACGACAATCTCTCAGAAGATCTTCTTTCACAATGGAGAGTGATTTATAAATCACTTCCTTATATCAAAAGCATAAAACTTAGTCGCTGGATTGGATGCGATTCAGATACCAAGAGCATCGAGTTACACGGTTTCGCGGATGCTTCCCAAGTAGCTTACGCCGCAGTAGTTTTTTTGAGAGTCACAACATTATCCGGTCATACAACTGTTTCGCTCCTCGCTGGGCGATCTAAAGTCGCGCCTATCAAACCGCTGACAATCCCTCGATTAGAATTGTCAGCTGCGGTCTTATTAGCGCGCCTAATTGAATTCATAAGAAAATCTCTTCATTTACCAAAATGCCAGTCCATTGTTGGACAGATTCGAGTATTGTGCTTGCTTGGTTAAACAAGCACCCATCTCATTGGAAAACTTTCGTCTCGCATCGCGTAACAGAGATTCAAACACGAGTGTCTGATGGCATTTGGCATCATGTCAGTACACATGAAAATCCCGCTGACTGTGCATCTCGCGGTTTACTCGGCACAGAATTAAGCGCCTTCGACATTTGGTGGCGTGGCCTTCATGGTTGAGTCTTAAACAGGATGATTGGCCCACATTCACAAGAACGCCGATAGACGAAACACATTTAGAAGAAAAATCGTGTCAAGTGCATCAAGTTAACGCTAATGAACCGTGGAATCTCACTACTCGATATTCATGGTGGCCGAAATTAATACGTATTACCGCCTACATTTACCGTTTCATAAGGAAGTGTAGAAAGAAACACACAATAGGATCGAACAACAAGTCTCAATCTCACGCTCTTACTACAGTTGAATTCAACAAAGCACGAAACTTCTGGCTGAACTTCATTCAGTTAGAACTATTCGAAAACGAGCTCCATAATTTAAAGTCAAACAAACCGTTGCCTACTCACAGTCCAATTCTCTCATTAAATCCGTTCCTGGATTTTGACGGTCTAATTTGCGTTGGGAGGCGATTAGAACACTCGTCATTATCTTTCCAGTCCAAGCATCCAATCTTATTAGCCAACCATACGATCACTACCATGATCATCCGTTATACGCATGTTGTATCTCTCCATACCGGTCTTCAATCCACTCTTTCAAAACTTAGACAAGAGTTTTGGATTTTGAGAGCAAGAAGTCTAGTAAAGTCGGTTATTTATAAATGTGTTCCGTGTACAAGAGAAAAGGCTCAAGTAGCTAGTCAGCTGATGGGCCAGCTACCTACGAGTCGTGTTTCGGCGCCCTCTCGAGCGTTTCTACATAGCGGTGTCGACTACGCCGAACCAGTCTTCACACGTGCTTCAGCCGGCCGAGGAATTACCTCGCGAAAGGCCTACATAGCACTCTTTATTTGTTTAGCCACACGCGCTATTCATCTCGAACTGGTTAGTGATTACTCGACTGCTGCCTTTCTTAACGCTTTTCAAAGATTTTGTGCGCGACGTGGATTACCAGAGGTCATGTACTCGGACAATGGTACTACGTTCGCAGGAGCAGACAAGGAGTTGTCGCAAGCGTATCGAGACGCTCAAAGCGATGTTAACTTTCTCAACTTTATCGTGTCAGATAACATCACATGGAGTTTTATCCCTCCCCATGCTCCACACTTCGGTGGATTGTGGGAGGCAGGGGTCAAAAGCGTTAAATACCACCTTCGTAGGATATTAGGAAATCACACCCTCACTTTCGAGGAACTTACTACCGTGCTTTGTAAAGTTGAAGCATGCTTAAATTCAAGGCCCCTGTGTCCATTGACTGATTCGATTGACGACTTTGAATTTCTCACTCCGGGTCACTTTTTGATTGGATCGGCAATCACAATCAATCCAGAACCTTCTGTTCTGCAAATCAATGAAAACAGACTGTCACGGTGGCAGTTGTTGCGACAGATCACGGAGCGTTTTTGGAAGCATTGGCACGCCGACTATATTAACACGCTTCAACAGCGAACTAAGTGGCGAAAGGCAAAGTCACTTATCCATATCGGTTCCATGGTTCTGATTCAAAATCCTCTTCTTCCTCCTTGCAAATGGGAACTCGGACGCGTAATCCACTGTCGACCAGGCTCTGACGGATTAATTCGAGTAGTCTCCGTCAAAACAGCGAACTCGGAATATACGCGTCCCATAACTAAGTTATGTGTGCTTCCAATCGACGTTGATTCTGACGATTCCATCGAGGATCAGCCTCGAGTGTCAAGCAATTAACGATAATTCTAGTGTAAGTTAATTTACGATTTTAATTCTAATTACGTTATAATTTATGTAGCAAGTAAGTCAAGTTTATGTTCATTAGTTAAGTCAAAGCGTGCAAGTAAAGTCGCCAAGGCGGGCGGCGCTTGCAATCCTAAGTTTAAGGTCGTGCGAATTAGTACAAACAGCGGATACTGTTGTTTACGCGATCTGCGTTAAATGTTAAAATCCGTCCGCGATAACAACAGTGATCTATTAGAAGTTAACTTTAAGTCAATATTGTCAAACGTTTCAGGTCTACAATTTCACTTAAGTGCGATCTGAGCGTAATCAGAAGTTACATCTCAGTATCTTCTATATTGCATGGGATCAATCGTGACGGACGGTCACACGCAATCAGTTTTCATATAGCAAACCTCACTCACACGGGAGTGAACGATGCATCCTTGTGTAAGGTATACCGCGAGATCGAGTGGTTTCGAAATTCAAATTTCGAGGCGGGCGGTATGTTTAGGATTGAGAAAAATTTGCCGCGCTCGATCAAACGAAAATTCACGGATCAGTCGAGAATTTAGGTAAAAGCAATTGCCGCGGGCCTAACACGGCAGCACCTCGCGGCACGCATCGCGGGAAGCGCCGCGGAAGCAAATTTTCGGCCAATTAGCGCGTTCCGCGTGTACCCCTCGCGATCACACGGTCGATAGCGTGATCGATGAGGGTAGCATTCCGTCGGAGACAGTCGTCGTGGAGAGAGAGCCGGCTTTGGTCGCAAGTCAGACTAAAGAATTCGCGTTACGGTGTAATAAGTGCGTGAATGTATTATCGCGACAAATACGAACAGATTTGCGCGGTATTTTGTGACATATCGAGAGTGAAAAGTTAACGGGTAATCGGATCTCGTTCGCGACGCAACATACACGTTCTCGCGACGAATTCGCCATTGTCTCGTGCACGCTACGTGCACGTGATCGAACATTACGAGTATTCGGATCCTGCTGGAGGATTCATTGCGATATTCGCGTACAGGTGAATGCATGTCGTGCATTCTCTCTCTCTCTCTCTCTCTCTCTCTCTCTCGCGTTCTCTCTCACAATTGTCGTAGTACGCCGTCGCGACGAATTTGCCGTTGTATTGTGCACGCTGCGTACACGTGATCGACTCCTGCGAATATTCGAATCCTTCTGGAGGATTCTGTGTGATAGTCATTTGCCGATGAATGCATGTCGTGCATTCTCTCTCTTTCCTTTTCTCTCTCTCAGGAGTGTCGTCACAGTGTTTTCGATTTCCAAAATCTGTCACGCGGTGTGCACGTGCAAGCGGCTAGCGACTCAAAGATTTGGCCAGGATCGCTTGCACTATTGTCGTCGAGCGATTGTAATCCTGCGTTAATCTTGTGAGTTAATTTTCGTTGTGAGAAGTGATCGTGAACAAGATAATTTAAGACAATTATTGAGTCGCGTTAAATCATATGTGCGCGTTTTCGATAAATTATAACGGTCGTCTACAAGAGGACAAATTTGTTATTGTACGATTCGCGATCGTGACTTTCAAATAGGACATTGTTTTTTCTTGCGACAAAAGACATTGGTGTCGATATCGAACAAACAGTTTTCTCTTTTGTGATCGCGAGCTTCGAAACGAATAATTGTTTTGTACGACGCTTGATACACAATCAGGCGTTCGATAAGTGATCAATTGTCAAATGTAAATTTGCTGCGCGTACAGCAAACGCTTTCGATTCTCATATCGAGTTTTTTGTTTTTTCTTTGGTTTGTTTGTGTCAAGTCCAGGTGACTTTCTGACGTGTGATATAATAAATTGATCTGTTTTTGTTCATCAAACTCAAGACTCCTTTTCAATTCGGCTTCCTGCGTAAATCATCAATCTCAGCGCACACATGGGTGCGCGATCACCCTATTAAGATACAGTCCACTCAACAATTATCCTATTGTCCATCCATCACATCTCTCATGAGATTCCTATGATTTCTTTCCAATAAAAAAAAAAAACGGGTGAAGGATCTGAGAGGCGGCGCGCGAGACGCGGCCCTAAAAAGGCCGAGCATGCTCGTTCGTCGCAGCTTTGTGTCGGACCACGGTTCAAGCCGCGCGTTCGCAACACTCATCAATATGAATATTTGCAGATATAATATAATAAATATAAATATGTGAATATATTATTCTGTTTGCAATTTTTAATTATTAAATTATATTATTTCCAAATTATATGCATAATAGATATGCAACAAAACTATTATTATTAACAATATATTTGCAATCCAGATATTATATGAAACTATTCACACACAAGAAAAATAATATTTTGAAAAGTAATTGCTGGTGTACGATTACATTTTTGTTTAATTGGCAAACAAATATTTAATAAAATTTATTAATTTAAAAAAAGGAAAAAGAAAAATGAATCTTTTCAATATAAAAAAAAATATAAATATATAAATAAATACATAATAACAAAATATATACATTCTAAGCATTTAAATAATAATACAATTTTAAAACAAGACCATTTATATAAATATTTATATACAACGTATTCTAATTATGTTATTCAATATTTTTCAATATTTCTCTCTAATAATTTATTTATAATAAATAAACACAATTTGAATGTAATATGTAAAAACATTGTGAAATGGTTACCTAGTTGAATGCAGAAATGTTCTCCAGAAGGAAACTGTATGGTTACACTTCGTTGTATTACCAAACTTCCTGCAATATTTACATTTGATTAATAATTTTGAATTATAATATATATTGTATATATGTACAACACATTTTATTATAACATATTATACATTTATTATTTTGAACAAATGAAAAAAAATTTGAGAAATATATATTAACAGTAAATATAATTAAATTAAATATAATAAAATGTGTAATGAATTGAAAATGTTCTGAATAAAAATATGGTTTAAAAAACGTAAATTATTTATTATTTATATTGTAACTGTTACGTACAATAACTTTGCTAGAACCAAGGAAAAGATATATATTATTTAAATTCAGTCATATTAATATCATCAATCAAACATCTTCGATTAAAATTTAAATTGTATTAATCGTTACACATTGTTAATTAATGGAAATAGAGAAATTATATCGATTTTTTTAAGTCAATCATTAATGGAAGAGATTCGCATTAAATTTGCTATATTTAATCGTCAATTAAATATTTTTTAATTGTTTCTGCTCAAATCAATTGTCAATTGAATTGTCTTCGATTGAATCTGTTTTTTTCAATCGTCAATTAAAGTACTTCTAATTAAAATTAACTCATATTAATCGTTAATTAAAAAACTTTTAATTAAATTAGCTTGTATTAATTGTTAATCGATCGTTCTCCGATTAATTTCGTTTATATCAATTGTCAATTAAATAATCTTTAATTGATTTCGATCATATTAATTGTTAATTAAACGATCTTCGATTAATCTAGCTTGTATCAATCGTCATTGTAACGAAATCTAATTAATCTTTCTAAAATTAATCGTCAATTAAAAAAATTTTAATTACATTTGATTACATCTGTTGTAATTAAATGTCATAATTAATTTAAAAAGTAATTAATTAATGAGCATCTCTGCTGGGTATATTGATTAAATTTAATTAAATTAAAATATAACTAATCTCTACGATAGTCGGCGGCGACGGGCTCGGCGGCGACGGGCTCGGCGGCGACGTGGTCGGCTTCATTCATCGGCATCTGAAATGTATAAAGAATATTAGTTTTATAATAGTTTTTTATAATAAAAAATAATAGTATTTTATAATGAAAAATAAAATACTTACATCTTCTGCCATTTCGGTTGAGTACATCTGGAATTATAATAAAATGAAATATATTTAACAAATTAAAAAGAAGAAAATATTATATATATATATATATATATATATATATATATATAAAATATGTGGAATTGTATGAGCGCACGTGATCGCGGCCGGGCGCAAGGATATGGGGGGATTGAAATTTACTTGGTTGGGCGTTAAAAGTTCTATGTGACTGTTAAATGCTCGTGATTTGATTGAGCCGGAAATTCTAAAGATCTCCTTAATTAATTACACACGTACGGATTTTAACACTTGTTCGAATCGCGTCCCCTTGCGCTCAACCGTATAATAGACAAAATAAGATCTGGATATTTCGAACACCTGATGTAACGAGTCGATGCGCGTAAACAAGTTTTTATGCGCGAACGACAAGAGTAACATTAAAGTACGTCCGAAATATATCTATTGCAAAACTATATGTAAAATCATAATTATAATCACGGAACCAATAAATAAGATGCGAATATCTCAAAAATTCACGAAAAGATCCCGAAAAGTTCATAAAAATGACAATGTTCCGTCGCTTAATGCTAGTCGTTCTCGCGAAATAAATTATTAATAATAAACGAACTTAATTGCTGACTACTAATTAAGTGATTCTACATTTCATTAAAGACGATGATGATGTTAGAACGATAGTTTACAGAATCTTATATGTATATGACTTACCGAAGTTAGTTGCTGAGATGTCAGTCTTCTCACGGCCACAAACTGATTAGACCGCAGGCTGCGCGACAGGGGTGCGTAATCGTGCGGCTTGTATTTAGAATGATATGCTCGATGCCACGCGTTTCACACGTGTTGTTCTTGGCCGCGTGTTCATATCATCGATGTTTTCGACAATTTTCGGTGCGACGAAATAATCGCTGCTTTAATCAGGTAATGATTTTATAATTTGTGAATATGTTGATAAAGTTAATGTGTAAAGTTGTAAGATAATTAATTCTTTATATATTTGGATTATAATTAAATATTAATTTTATAATAGTACAGACACACACACACACACACACACGCGCGCGCGCTTATGTCCGTGTGTTGATACGTATATCTATATTCTTTAATTAATATTTAAATTTATATTGTACATATGCAGAATATATATACAGGATATCACAGAATTAGTAGTAAACCTGTTAATGGAAGATTCTTGAGATAATT